AAGCAATAAGACGCTGTGACAGATCACCCTTGCTTTGATATATTGTATTTTGTACAAATAGCAGCGCTGGATATGGATCATAATCATATAGATGTATATCAGGGGGGGTTGTGAGCAACACATCATTTGAGCGGGACGCTGTTATGAAAATGGCTTTAACACGAAGATGAATGAGATGTTTTCTGATGTTTCCAGTCAGCCAATCACAGGCCGTAAAGCAGAGACATGGATAAATGTCATGTGAAATCTGGGACGCAATCAAGCGTTGATTAAAAGCATGATGCGGAAGAGCTGATGCCCATCCAGAGACACACAGACCTGCCAGACTTTAACTGAGACGGACACCTGCAGATAAATGACACCATCAGTCAGTCATGGAGGACGGAAATTACAGAAACTGAGTCTGAGTTTGGGAGGAAAAGAAAGAAAGAGCTGGAGCTTCTCTCTACTCTTACATCATATATACTGTATTTATAATGCATACAGCTAAAAAAAAACACATAACCAAGTGTCTCAAATTTAAGATACATGCATGAGTTCACATATGTGCTAAATGAATAGATGTTTATTTGCGAATGAATGAATGAACTAATGATAGAATAAACTAATAAATAAACAAATGAATGATTAAACTAATAAATGAGTCAATCAAACACTGAAATGAATGAATAAACAAACTAATAAATAAATGATTTAATGTACAAATAAATAGATGAATCATTAAATAGATGAATCAATGAATAAACAAATAAATCATCAAAATGATTGAATAAACAAATTATTGAATAAAAGAATCAACGAATAAACTAATGAATAAATAAATTAACAAATAAATAAAGAAATGAATGATTAAAAGCATTGTTGATTAAACTAATCAATCAATTATCAAAATGAATGAATAAATGAATATACAAATGAATGAATGAATGAATGATTAAATAAATGAATAAATGATTGAATAAACAAATGAATAAAATAATAAACACATGAATTAATGAATTGATAAACAAATGAATGAACAAATAAATGAATGAACCAATCAATAAATCAATGAATAAAGGAATAAACAAATGAATCAATGAATTAATGAACGAATAATTTAACAAACAAATGAATGAATAAAAAATGAATGAATAAACTAATTATTATATAAATAAACAAATGGACGACACAGTGGCACAGTAGGTAGTGCTGTTGCCTCACAGCAAGAAGGTCGGTGGTTCGAGCCTCGGCTGGGTCAGTTGGAGTTTCTGTGTGGAGTTTGCATGTTCTCCCTGCGTTCGCTTGGGTTTCCTCCGGGTGCTCCGGTTTCCCCCGTAGTCCAAAGACATGCAGTATAGGTAAATTCGGTAGGCTAAAATTGTCCATAGTGTATGAGTGTGAATGAGCGTGTGTGGATGTTTTCCAGATATGGGTTGCGGCTGGAAGGGCATCCGCTGCGTAATCACATATGCTAGAAAAGTTGGCGGTTCATTCCGGTGTGGCGACCCCGGATTAATTAAGGGATTAAGCCGAAAAGAAAATGAATGAATAAATGAACGAATAAACGAATGAATGAATGAATGATCGAACGAAAGAATGAATGAACGAATGAACAAACTAAAAAATTAATCACTGGATGAATGAATGAATGAATAAATGAATGAATGAATGAATGAATGAATGAATGAATGAATGAATGAATGAATGAAGGAAGGAAGGAAGGAAGGAAGGAAGGAACGAACTAACGAACGAACGCACGAATGAATGAACGAACAAACTTGAAACATGGTAAAAAAATAAGCTATATAAACTGTTTTCCAAATACAAACCTAAAATAAATGAAAGGTAGGTGAAATGCATATCTAAATATAATAAATACATATGATAAACTATAAATAACCATAAAGTGGCCAGTGGTCATTAAACGCATGGCACTGAAGAGCTGTCACGCTGACAGGCAATAACGAAGATGGGCATCTGCAACGGGACACAGTTAAATGACACTTTCCATCAATCACACTGAAAGCAAATTAGAGCCACAGTCGCCGAGCTTGGCAGGCACAGAGCAAAAGCACTTCAAGAACTAACCAGGTTTTCTCTCCCCCACCATTATAAATGGCATTTATAATTCAAACACCCAGAATAATCCATAACCAAATGTCTCATATTCACACAGACCTGTGGCGAAGTACGAAAACCGAATGTGATTATTAGAAGTTTCTGGACTCTGTAACTCTATAGAAGCCATTTAATTTTGGGAAAATGTGTTGCGTAAAAGCTTCCCGGAGCTGATTGGAAGCTGCAGCACAAACGACCAATGATAATGAAGTACAGCGTGATCTGAATGCATAATGTCTCCCAGACGATCTTGTGATTGGCTGCTGAAGAGCAAAGTGAGCTGTGAATGGTCAACGGCAGTCCTGCCCCCTCCTACTGTCACATGCTACTGTATGAGCTGTGATTGCAACTGTCTTGTGGAAATCAGAGTTTAATATTAGACGGCGATGCTGTAAATGACCAGCTAATAGAGAGGATATGGGCAGGGTGGTTTTTAAATAACAATATTTGGATTAAATTGCAGGCGGAAGTTGTGCTGAATTGAAATTGATAAGAGATGGATGAGGGATGGAAATTATAAATGGTTCTCTCAGCCTTTTCAAAGTCACCTTCAGTGAACTGGAGGCGTCAGTGGATGATCTATTGTCTCAATATAATAAGAGATGAGTTATGGCTGTATATAATGTATTATGATAATAAAAACTTTCCAATATATGGACACGACTTTTTTACTTGGCTTTCAAATAAATACTTTAGGCAAAGGCTGAATGATTCTCAAGATGACTCTTATGAAGCGGATCTTTAGAGTGAATCAAACACAAAGCATAATCGGTTTAGTCCAGCACGTTAAACTGAAGATTCTTAACTTACTGTGTACCATAGTTATGATTAGTTACCATAGTTACCATAACTATAGTTATGATTGTTATGAAGTGGCAAACCCAACAATGTAGTTTGCTTATCTAATGGAAAATGCTCTTTTAAAATGTTGTTTTTTTTAATTAATCTAACATCTGCAGTAAAACCAATGTAGTTTGATTCGCATAAACTGGTTCTTTACACTGTAGTGAATTAAACACATACATTTTACGGATGTAGTCTAGTTCTGGAAACCAATGACCCCTTTGAACTAGTTCTTTTTAGTGAATCAAACACATACAATGCAATCTATAGCCCCTTTCACACATACAGACCTTTCCGGAAAATTGCCGGAAATTTTCCGGAAAGGTCTGTATGTGTGAACAGGTCCTTTTTGAAAATACCGGTAAATTTGTTCTGGCTATTTTTGGAAAGAGAAGTTGTAACATTACCGGCAATTTGCCGGAATGCTGCGCTGTGTGAATGCAGAAGGAAGATTACCGTAATAAGTGCGTGCACGTCTAGAACGTGCTGACGTGAGACGTCTGCTTTAGCCAATCACAATAGTCAGACGCATTTACGTCCACGCGGTTTGTGAGAATAAAAGCCTTTGAATATTTTTTCCAGACACATTTAGCTGCTAGAAGTTAGTCAGATCACTTTTATATGTTCTTCTTAATGCCAACTGTGTAAATAATCATCGATGAGATGCTTATGATAAGCCGTTGTTTGTTTACCTTCAAGCTTTGCGTGTGCCTGTGAAACAGCCTGTGAGCGCCTGCACACGCACATATTATGAACATCTCGACATGCGAAAGTGATCCTGCGAAAGTTGTTCACAATATTGATCATCCACAGAGTTTGTAATTTAGTCAAATGTTTACAAATACAAGCGCAGCCGTTTAAAGCTCATTTGTGGTGAATGATGTCAGAATTTACCGGTATTTTGGAATGGATGTGTGAACGTTTTTTTCCGGAAAATTTCTGTAACGTCCTCGCCTGTGTGAACAGTGCTTTTTTGAATATACCGGTAAAGTCATTCCAGAAATTTTCCAGATATTTACAGGTATCACTGTGTGAAAGGGGCTAATGTAGTTGGATCTTAGAAACAAATGACTGTCAAGATTGTTTTTGTCTGCATCCCCAAAATTCTGCACTTATATAAATTATAAAAAACTATTACCATAAACAATGTATTTTGGGAAACGATTGAGCAGAATCTTAAATTCTAGACTTTTTATTTTATCCATGATATGTTTTACCACATTGCACAACCCATTTGTGAGGGTGAGTAAATAACGGCAGTAATTTCAATTCTGAAACCTATTTCTTGAAGCTTCATGAACCGATGCACTGCAGATGAAAGTTATTATCTTCCTAAAACAACTACCACATTCAATCAAAGGAATTAAACTACCTGTAATTTCTACTTTATTATTTTCTCCTGACTGCACAGTGTAATTACATTCATTACTTCCACACGGCTTCAGTGAGTATCTTCAGTATTGATTTAAACTCACCTGCGAGTTGAACCTCAGATGGCAAACGCCACACGACATTGCTTTTCTTTTTGAGGGGGCCGAAGTGCTGATCGTGTGATGCAAAACAGCTTTCTGAACTGCATTCATCTGAGGAGAGAAGAGAGGGAAGGAAAAAGGAGATTTATTGAGATATATCTAGCTGCAGACCCACACACATTTCAGACCACTAGATATAGATCACTAAATCTAGACCATTAGATCCTGACCATTCAATCCAGACCCCTAGATCTAGGCACCTAGAACCAGACATCTAAATTAAGACCCCTACATCCAGACCACTAGATTTAGACCAGGGGTGCTTAAACCCATTTCTGGAGATCTATCTTCCTGCAGAGTTTTGCTGCAACATTGATCAAACACACCTTTACACACCGTCTTTAATTACTAAGAACTTCTTTAAATCCTTCTTGTTTGGCTAAGTTGTGTTTGATTTTGGTTTGAAATGAACTCTGAAGGAAGGTAGATCTCTTGGTACAAGGTTGATCACCCCTGACCTTGAACACTAGATCAAAAACACCAGATTTAGACCACTAGATCCAGAACCCTAAATCCTGACCATCAGAACCTGACCATTAGATTCAGATCACAAGATCCACACCCTTAGATCCAGACCATTAGATCCACAACACTACATCCAGAACCCTAGATTCAGACCACTAGAACTTGACCACTAGATCCAGACCCCTAGATTCAGACCACAAGAACCTGACCACAAGATCCAAACCATTAGAAATTGAGCACTAGATCCAGACCACTGGATCCAGACCACTAGAGCCAGATAACTAGAACCTGACCACTAGATCCAAACCATTAGAAATTGAGCACTAGATCCAGACCACTGGATCCAGACCACTAGATCCAGATAACTACAACCTGACCACTAGATCTAGACCCCTATATCCACACTACTAGATCCAGACCATTAGATCTAGACCCCTTGATCCACACTACTAGATCGAGGCCATTAGATCCAGACGCCTAGCTCAAGACCACTAGATCTAGACCAGGGGTGCTTAACCCTGTTCCTTGAGATCTACCCTCCTGCAGAGTCAAAGTGTGTTTGATAAGAGTTGATCAAACACACTTGTCTTTAATTATCAAGAGCGCCTTTTGATCTTTCTTAGTTGGGTCAGCTGTTTTGGATGTCTAAAGTTTTGTTTCCAGGAACAGGGTTCAGCACCCCTGATCTAGACCATTAGATCCTAAACACTAGATCCAGACCAATAGATCCAAGGCATTAGATCCAGACCATATGATTCACACCACTGAATCCAGACCACTAGATCCAGACCACTAGATCCAGACCACTAGGTCCACACCACTAGATCCAGGCTGGGGTGAACTATTTACGGATAACGACATTATTTATACACACACTATTTATTAACAATGCACAAAATCCTACAAATGCATAATTTGATATTTATTGACATTCATTTTGATCAATGTAATGAACCACAATCAATTATGTAGGTTATGATGAGAAATTTAGTTCATGTTTGTTCAACCTATTGTGTTTTGTTAATGTTCACAAATTCCCCAAACCTGAACCTACCCTTTACAACAGGGGCCCTCAATCTAGATCCGCTACATTCAGACCACTAGATCTAGATCATTGGATCCACATCACCAGATCCAGGACACTAGATCCAGACAATTTGATCAACACCACTAGATGCAGGCCACTAGATTAAAGCCAAAAGATCCAGGCCACTAGATCCAGGCCACTAGATTAATGCCACTAGATTAAGGCCACTAGATACACATCACTAGATCAAGGCCACTAGATTCAGACCCTTATATCCACACTATTAGATCCACACCACAATATCCAGGCCACTAGATTAAGGCTACTAGATTCAGGCCACTAGATTCACACCACTAGATCCACACCACTAGGTCCACCACTAGATCCACACCACTAGGTCCAGGGTACTAGATTAAAGCCACTAGATCCAGACCCTTAGATCCACACTATTAGATCCACACCACTAGATCCAGGCCATTATATCCAGACCACTAGAGCCAGGCCAGATTCAAGCCACTATATTTACAGCTCTAGATTCAGGCCACTAGATCCCCTCCACTAGATCAAGGCCACTAGATTCAGACCACTAGATCCACATCACTAGATTCAGACCACTAGATCCACACCCCTAGATCCAGGCCACTATATCCAGACCACTAGATCCACACCACTAGATCCAGGCCACTAGATCCAGGCCACTAAATCCATGCCACTAGATCCACATCACCAGATCCAGGCCACTAGATCCAGGCCACTAGATTAAGGCCACTAGTTCCAGGCCACTAGATCCGGGCCATCCAGACCACTAGAACCAGACCATTAGATCCAGACCTCTAGATCCAGGACACTAGATCCAGGCTGGGGTGAACCATTTATGTATAATATTGGATCAGTTGTGGCTTTGTATTGTTAAATGAGCAATCCCAAGAGTCTTGACATTATTTATTTATACAATATATATTTACATTTACATTTACATTTAGTCATTTAGCAGACGCTTTATCCAAAGCGACTTACAAATGAGGACAAGGAAGCAATTTACACAACTAAGAGCAACAATGAATAAGTGCTATAGGCAAGTTTCAGGTCTGTAAAGTCTAAGAAGGGAAGTATGAGTAGTATTAGTTTTTTTTTGTTTTTTGGGTACAGTTAGTGTGATATTCAGAGAGGCAATTGCAGATTAGGAAGTGAAGTGGAGACTAAATAGTTGAGTTTTTAGTCGTTTCTTGAAAGTAGCTAGTGACTCTGCAATTCTGATGCAGTTAGAGAGTTCATTCCACCAACTGGGCAGATTAAATGCGAGCATTCGCAAAAGTGATTTCTTCCCTCTTTGGGATGGAACCACGAGGCGACGTTCATTCACAGAACGCAAGTTTCTGGAGGGCACATAGATCTGCAGAAGTGAGAGCAGATAAGAAGAAGCAAGGCCAGAAGTCACTTTGTAGGCAAACATCAGAGCTTTGAATTTGATGCGAGCAGCAACTGGCAGCCAGTGCAAACGAATGAGCAGCGGAGTTACATGTGCTCATTTAGGTTCATTGAAGACCACTCGTGCTGCTGCATTCTGGAGCAGTTGAAGAGGCTTGATAGAGTTAGCTGGAAGCCCAGCTAGTAGAGAGTTGCAGTAATCCAGTTTGGAGAGAACAAGAGCTTGAACAAGGAGTTGAGCTGCATGTTCAGATAAGAAGGGTCGGATCTTTCTGATGTTATAGAGTGCGAATCTGCAAGATCGAGCAGTTCTAGAAATGTGTTCAGAGAAGTTTAGTTGGTCATCAATCGTTACTCCAAGGCTTTTCACCATTTTGGATGCAGCAATGGTTGCCCCATCCATCTGGATTGAAAAGTTATGGTGTAGAGTCGAGTTGGCAGAAACTACAAGCATTTCCGTTTTTGCAAGGTTAAGCTGAAGATGATGATCTTTCATCCAGTGTGAAATATCCAACAGGCAGGCTGAGATGCGAGCTGGAACCGAGGGATCATCAGGATGAAAAGAGAGGTATAGCTGGGTATCATCAGCATAGCAGTGGTAGGAGAATCCATGTCTCTGGATGACTGGTCCTAGAGATGATGTGTAGATGGAGAAGAGAAGTGGCCCAAGAACAGAGCCTTAGTGGCCCAAGAACAGAGCCAAGAACAGAGCCTTACAGAGAGATACTCACAATGCACAAAATACTTAAACTCCGCAAGACACTTGCGCTCCAAAGTTTACCCATTTCTGGTCTAAACCCACCCAACCCTAAATCTACCCCTTACAGTAATGTAATAAAAAAGTATTTATTGTTGTACAGCATCACAAAAATTATGCTACACTTCTATGCACATTGTCAATCAAAGTACTCGTGGCGTAAGTCTCTCTCACTTGAAACCCTGAATCTAGTGTGTCCTGAAACGTATGGGTCTGCAGCTGGATATTATTGGTTTTATTAGCCTCATTCAGCGCAGCGGCACGATGAACGTCAACTCTGTTACTCATCGGTCGGCATGATAAAAATGTTGCCCCCGGCGGATTCACCGCAAACACGACTTGTGGTTGTGGAGCGAATGCACAGTCTGGAACATGTTAAAGGCCAGCGATTTTCACACACACACTCTTCAATCAGCGCAGCGGGACAGACGAGGGAAAACAAACTCCACGAGGACTTCATGAGAAGCCAGATGCAAATTATACACTGCGAAAGGTCTGATGAAATCACAACAGTCTGCATTTGGAGTTGTGCATATCATATGAGAAACAGATCACAAAATGGATATAATTATTTTTAAATGCTAGCAAGTCTAATATATTGAAAGTCAGAATTTGAAAGGACTGCTTGTGGATTTCATATCTTGTCTGTTGTTTATTTATTTTATTGTCAAACCTAATGTCATATTGAGGTCTGGTCAAACAGGATATGACACCATTCAGATAGTCTTTCTCCCACTCTGACCCAGACGAGCTTGTGAAATCACACTGATACTCTCAGATATTGCCTGCTTGATTCATTGGTCTATTTATCAGATAAATATCCGCCTCCTGCTTTCTCCTCAAAAAAAAAAAAAAAAAAAGTAATATCATATATTTTTTAATATACCTAAAACTAAATATCAACACATGCTTTTACGTTACTTTCCCAAAAAAATAACATATTTACTTTCCTTGGTCACACTTTATTTTAATGCACAATACACTATTAACAAACAATTAAAGAAGACTTTTAGCTCAACAAATTACTAATTTTTTGCTTATTAATAGTTAGTAAGGTAGTAGTTATATTTAGGTACTGGGTAGGATTAGGGCTGTAAAATAAATTAAAATAAACAGTTAATATCTTAATAATAGGCATGTAGTAAGTCATTAAAGGCTGTGACATGTTAAAATTGGTGTGGTCAAATGATTAATCACATCCAGAATAAAAGTTTGTATTTACATAATGCATGTCTACTTAGTGTGTATAAATATGTCCCAAATGATGTTTAACAGAGCAATTTTTCACAATATTTCCTATAATATTTTTTTCTTCTGGAGAAAATCTTATTTGTTTTTTTTAGGCTAGAATAAAAGCAGTTTTATTTTATTTTT